TTCCTCAAAAAACAAAAAAAAAAAAAAAAAAAAAAAAAAAAAAGACCAGCCTGGGCTACATAATGAGTTCTGGGACAGCCAGGGGTATGTAGAGAGATAGATGCCAGAGCCACAGGCCCAGCTGAGGCTTAGCAGCCTTCCCACCCCACCTACTCCTTCCCCATGGCCAACCTCATCTACAGCAGTGTCTGACTTGAGAGCCCTACTCTAAGCCAATGTCCTGTGCCTTTGCCTCCAGTGACTTTTCTTTCTGCCATTGGGTAATTCCCACAGTCTCTGCTGAGAGCTTCCCTTCTCCCGAAATGTATTCACGTTCATGTCAGGCAGGCCACACTGCCTGTCCAGCAGGACTTCTCCATGTCCTTTCTATTACACAGTCTTTGAAAGTGGGGCTCATGTTTTATTGGCCTCATTTGCTAGTCTCAATACATGGGAAATCGTTATTATAAATATTTATAATCCCTGCTTTCAAGGCTCACTTCACAAACCTATACACAGCCTGATTCCCTGAAGAACAGTAGGTGGCTTTCCCCCAGGATCCTGTGCCTCCCATTTAAAATGACTGAGGTCACTTTTAGTGACTTCTACTAGACAGTCTTCCCATGCTCTGGGTTCCTCAGAGGCAGCTGCTGTGGCCCACTTACGCTATATTGTAAGAATTGCTGAGTACCCTTGGAACAGAAGGTGTTGGCCAAGTGGAAGCACTTTGATCCCACCAGCCTAATGCTAGAAGATGACGGCCAGTAGAACCCTGCAAGCAGAGGCCTGTGCAGTGAGTGCTGGAGACCAGTGTTTCATCTTGTTTTCTGGTGCCAGTGCAGAAGAGGGCACAATTGCTGCCCTCTGTATGGAAGACACAGTTGCTGCCCTGTGTATGGAAGGCATGGTTGCTGCCCCTGTGTGCAGAGGGCGTGGTTGCTGCCCTGTGTTCTTGTGCTGAACCCTGAGTTGGGATCTCAGAAGAGTAACGTTTTATCCAGAAGAGTTTTAGCAATAAGATCATACCTTGATCCTTACACTCATTTGTAGATGGCAAGTTGGACTGCAAACCCAGAAAGGAACTCTTGTCTCCCAACAAGCAGTTGTCACCTACTAGTGAAGGAAGAACCTTGCTGAGGGAGTAGATCATGCATTAGGGGCTTATTCCTTGGAAGAGCAGTGTGCTAAGGGCTTCATTCCCATTTCTGGTACCTCTCATCATCACCATCATCATCATCATCACCACCCCTACTTCCCAGCTAAAGAAACAGGCATGTAGATGAAGGGACTTTCTGGTCAAGGCACAACCCAGCCAGGGCTCCAAGACTGAGCAGCTTTAGTCAGCCTGAGGCTCTTGGAAATTATAATCAAAGAGCTCAGATCACCTCCATGTTGCATATACTACAAAGATATCAAAGGGCCTCTCATTGTGTCCAGAGGGAAAAAAATCATAGCTACTTTTCCTGATGCCTAATTCAAAACAAGACCAAATATATGGCTATCCCAGGTAATGTCCGTGGAACATCAGGGTGTGTGCATTAGGGCTCCACCAGCAACTCAGAGAAAGAAGTGAGAGCTGCTTTATCACCCACATTGCATTGCCTGGGACAGGAAGAGGGGGCTACCTGGGAACTGAAACACTTTCAATTTTTCACTGGTTCTGGCTTTTGTTTGTTTTTGAACTTCAAACTAGGGTTTCTTCCATGGTACTTAACTATTGGGTGAAAGATTATTAAAGAAAAGCCAGCAAGGCAGCATCAAATTGGGGCTATGCCCTGGCTTATCAGACAAACTGAGGAACTGGACAGATAGACAAACGTTAAGACTTCTGTATGCCAAACACTACCACAGTCACTGGCACCAGCTCGGGAAATTCTCAGTGTGAGCCTCATTTCTGGGTGAGGAGAACACAGCCCAGGCAGGATTAGCGACAGCTGGGGTCTGAGTTCTGGGCCCCGGGTGTAGTGCTCTCTTGAAGGCTATAGAAATACTCCACGGTCCCAGCTCAGCTCATACTCAATTTTCTCCAAATGCCAGTGGGGTCTGTATCTGGTGATGGCACTTCAACCCGAGCCAGTCTTATGACAATGCATGAGACTCCTCTCTGCCTCCTCACACACAGATCTGAGTCTCACTAACAGGCAATGAAGTCTACAAAAATCCATTCAATTGCAATGAACATAGATCCAAAGTTTGCTTCAGCATTGTTAGACCTTTGAGGTAGGTACCACCATCATCATTTCACAGGCAAGAAGGCCGAGCACACAGAAACTTGCTGCTGAACCTAGAACCGCATTCAGGGAGTCCAACACCTGAGCCTACCCAGCATGCTCACACTGGGCCATCCTTCTGCATACATGAGCGTTTGTGTGACCAAGTCCTTTTACACACACACTTTCACAAATGCCAACTCATTTCTGAGAATGACTGAAGTGTCAATCCTGGAAGCTGACATGGAGTATGCAAAAGTAGTTCCTTATCCCCTGAGTCATAGAAAAGGTTAAATACCTCCATCTAAACACCCGAGGAGCCTCCAGTAAATTCTTACTTGAATGAAGAGTCTGCTTTGTAGACATCACCTGCTTCCTAAGCCAATGAATAAGACTGTTCTTGAGGACTCCAGTAGCTTACCGCTGCTTTCCTGCAGCCAGCTTGGGAGCACCAAGTGAGTGTCTGATGTGTGTGGACTGGCATGCTTGGTAGGCAAGTCCCAGCCCCTCTGCCTGCCACCCACAGTGTGAGCAATGGACTGGGTCCCAGCAGTCTTCTCTGTCCTTTTATTGCAAAATCCCCTGTTCTCAGCTTCCTTCTGGACCTCCTGAGATTGGGGCTGCGAGGAAGTCCAGGTGTTCTAAGCAGCAGGTGGAGTTCCCAGCCACAGGCCAGCAGCTCACAGAGGACACAGGAAGAGCATGTGTGAGTTTCTGCTGCCAGAAGGCACCAGATTTTGAGGGTAAAAAGGAAAAAAAGGATCTTAAACTCCTTCCCTTCTCCTGTGTCTCATATAAACATAGACACTTGGTTTGAATGCCCCATGTAAAATCATTCTCACTTCTGGCATTGGGAATTTCTTTCAGGAAAGGCTAGGTTTGTGGGTGAGTGAGCTCTGGAAGCATTCTTTGGCCTTTGTAAGGCAAAAGGAAAGTAGATAGTGGGCATAGCAGGTCATCCTCGGAACTGTATGATATCTCTCCCTCCTTTCTAGGCTGACTTAGACAAGAGGAATGGATTATTACAAAGTAGAAACAATGAAAGCAAATACAGTAGAAAATAAGAGTTTTATGAAATGGCAGGATCCATTGGAAGCTCTTTTACCAACATACTCCTGAACACCCAAAAC